GGGGTTCAAGACGAAAGTCAAGGAGATGCTAGAAAGTAGGGAGGAGGCAACCCTTCGGAAGAAGGTGCGAAGCGAAGACCACTTGGAGATATACGGGAAGTTGAAAGAAGGGATAGGAATGAAGACGTACTTGGACGGCCCCATGGACTACGCGAAAAAGCTGAAATTGCAATTTCGAGTAGGCGATCTGGACTTGCCAGAACGGAGGAAGAGGTATACCAGCGGTGGAGAGAGGAAGAGGAGGATAGACACACCTGTCCATGTGGCAAATCGGAGGAGAGTAGACCCCACATAGTTGGGGAGTGTGAGTTGTACAGGAAGGAAAGAGAGGATCTCGAGGAGGAAACGAGACAGAGAGGGTGTGACATGGACAAGTTTGGTAAATTAGACAACAGCGAAAAAACGGTCGCGATAATTGGGGATAGATGGTGGGCACAAGAGGCCCTAGAGGACGGGGATAAGATGTGCAAGAAAAAATTATGTAGTTTGTGGCAGAAACGTAAAGAGCTCCCAAATGTTCGTGGTGTCTCTAGTAGGGGTAAGAACGGTGCTCCGTCTCGAAAGGGACGCGTGGTCAATGGTCAAATGACTAAGGCAAGCAACAAATGAGTACGCCCCCCCCCTGCTACTTTGTGAGCTCGACAGATTGAGGATGCGCCAGAGTAGCAGCGGCTGCACACCCAACAAATACAAGTATCGCATGGTTAATGAATTCCTCACCAACAGCTCTCGAGGCCTGGAAAAAGCATCATCGGTGTGCTGTTCGGCCATTGTCGGTGAAGTCGGCAGCCATCCGACGCTCCAGGGAGGAGCCGTCTCTCGGTGCTCGTATGAGAATGGGCCTAGTAGTACGTGCACGAGAGCATTAATTAGGCTTGGGTGATCGACATGGGGACGCCGGTCACCAACGACAATTGCTTGTGGGTGGGGGCAGAGCTGGTGGCGGCATCGTCCCGATGTTCCGCAGTCACTATAGACGTTCACAGCAATACTAACGACTCTGCTAATTCGTTACGTAGCTCACTGCGGCGATATTGCGTCCCCAAAATTTAAAACTAAAAAATACCCAAAACAAAACACAAACAAAACACACAGACACACACACATATTTATTTCTTACTCTATCTGCCTAGTTGCTTCCTCTCCGCAAATGGTCTAGTGGCGGGCAGCGACTACATTATATGTCTGGTTTGACCGTGTGTGAGAACATACACACAAGGTGCTCATGGTAGAAATGGGGGAGGGTAAGGTCATGCAACACTCGGCGACCCCCTTGCGACATTGCGTTAATTTTGAGTTGGTCTACGGATAGAGTTCGGGAGGTGTTGCAATTCGCGGGCGATGTTTTGACTGGTGACTTCCGTCGTAGCTCGATATTGCATCGGCCAGTACTGTAGATGCACGCAACTATCAACGGTGGCACCAAGCAGAGGATATGCGCCTACGCGAAGTGGAACAACGCTGATTCATGCCTACAACAGCGTTAGTACGTCCAACCCAAATGAGAAAAAACGGGAGCGTACCCTGCGTACGCGTGTGCAGTATGTTGCCTGTCATCTGTCGTCTCGATTAATATATGCTACAGCAGGACTTCGAAGTACAAGAAAGAAAGTGGTTGCTGGGACGGACCAGTTTACCCCTTACCTTATGTCAAGCATGGACTTGGTGAGTAGACTACACCGCACAGTACAATGTACCGGTAGTTCGAATATTTTTTGTGTGCTGCCCTACTGTACTACTGTAGTTCGTTTACGTGTACAACGTCGCAACAACTTGGACGCCAGCAGGCCGTACACCAAGGACCCACTGGTGAAACATCTCGGAAACACACAAGTACTTCGTAAGCAACCACCAGGATACAATAAACAGATTGAGTACCTCGGGTGATGTCGTCCATGTTGAGATGTGCTGCTGCTGATGATGTTGCGCCGTCGAAACCTGCGACATCAAACCGGGGGCGCGCCAGATACGTGAGCAATCAAGGCCGCCAAGGCATTTTTCACGCGAACTGAAAGGACTATTCAACAGTGACAGGAGCGCTTGTGTCCTCCAGGCGCATCCCTGCGACTCACAGTGTACCACCAGGTGTCCCTTATTACCACCGCGTGTCGCTTCGTTTCTCAAATTTAGCTTTTTTCTGCCGTCTTCCCAGCCGGGGCGGGGATGCTGCAGCTGACATTTGTACATATACCGTAAGCGCCTTGAACTACGCGCAAGCCATGCTGGAATCCAATAGCAATGCTGCGCAGGCAAGGCGTCATGTCTCACCTGAGGTTTGATGTGGTGTTCAGGCTCTGTAACCTGTACTGGATAGCCTGTATCTTCCTGACAGGCAGCTTGCCCGACGGGTAAATATAACAACAAAGCGACTACAGCACGTACGGGAGAGCACTCGGGCACGGAGTTTGAGCAAAGATACAGTAGAGACTATCCGCGCAGGCAACGTGTGGAGGGCGTTCAGACGAATGCTCGCAGCTGCAATTACACGTGAAACAAAATAAGTTTGTGCGATGTTGCGAGAGACACCGACACTGCTGCTGTACAACAAGTCCGTTTTCGACTTTTTCCGAAACGCCATTTCAAGGTTTCGTCGAGAAACTCGAAGGCGTTTGTGCGGCTGTCCAACCCGTGCGGCAAGAACCGGTGCGAAGAACCTGCCGCGAGCTCTACGGAGATTTCGTAGATGACTCTCATGCAGATCAGTATGCATGCATAGATCCATCCACACGACAGAACACGTCTGCAGAGAGAGGGAGAGAGGGAGAGAGAGAGACAGAGAGAGAGAGAGAGAGAGAGAGAAAGAGAGAGAGAGAGAGCGGGGGGGGGGGGCGGAATGGGTGGGAGGGCGAGAGGCATCTGAAGCGGGAGTACGTGTAATTGATTCAGTATCGACAATCTCTCGTTTTCACGGGGGACGGGAGACCGACACGACGCAGATCATTGTTCCATATTTCATATTTCCGACCAGCAGCTTAGTCAAGATCTCAACCATCGGACAGGGACGTTGGGCCACCAGTCAATGGAGCTGAACCATGCCCTCGAGATGGATTGGCGGTGTCAGAGGTCCTTGTTGTTGCACACAGCTGCATACAACAGTAGCCAGCGAGGGTATCCCGGAAGATATTCAGTCCTGCCACTGCTGCTGTTGTTCCTACTCCATGTGTGCACCATCAGCAGCAACAAGGTCGTGGTGGTATTACGGTGAGTGTATGCATAGACTATGCATACCTATTTCCTCGCCAAGTAAAGAAAACCCGCCCGTTTGTGGTTTGTGGGCCTCAACTATTTGGGTGGAAAAAGTACCCGCGCCGTCTGCACATTTATTAACTGCTACCTCTCTCTATGGAATGTAGTAGTCTAACACCAGGCAGAGAGATGGCAGTTCGAGCGAGAAGCAGAACAACTGTCTTGTATACCGCGTGCGTGTAGAAGATCAGATGCACCCAGGCACTAGTCTACACAACAAACAATATTTTTATTGTCCGAGCGTTTCTACCATTGTGGATACGTCAAATAAATATACCGCGCAAGGTCGGAGTGGGTCGTGGACTGGTGGTGCAGATTGGCGCCAACCTCCATCCCGCGCCAGAAACAACTGACAGCGTACAACAAGTAGTAGGTGAGTATAACTTTCAATCACAGACAGACCTTGTACACGCGTCATCACATCATCACATCATCACATCATCACCGGCAACAATACTACTATCAACAACAAGCTATAATCTTACAATTCGTGGTCTTCTATGTCTGCCTGTCTGTGTGGTCAACATGTACACTTATTTATGCACACACCAGCTTCAGCTTGCTTACACTATCTTCAGGAATGACTGATTCACTTTGGCCGCGAATTGCAACTATATATATTATGACGGCAGTAACTGACGATATAGACTACTTCATTTATGCTTGATTCTCGCGAGGGTATCACAAACACGACAACATTGCGGAGTCTAGGCACGACAGACAGGGAACTCTTCTACATACTGGCTACATAGCATGTATCTACTACAGTCAGTGCATACCTCGGCACTGGGCAGCTTCGTACCTTGTAATATAGATTATGGATGACTGGCTGCCCACCGCCGAACTGATGTTGAAGCACAGCATGGAATGCTGCACCAATCAGTGATACCCAGAGCTTAACAACAGGACGACACTTCATTTACTACATATCGTTTGAAGCTTGTTGTAACACATGTACAAGCAATTGTAACGTTCAAGCAGTGAATGAACACAACAACTGCTGCTGCTGCTGCTGTATGTAGTGTATGCGCGCTGTATGAGCGTTGTAGGAGCTGCTGTTATGGTATTTGTTATGGTATTTGGGTGTAGACATATGATCACGCTTGACATGGTTATTTTGTATCAGATGCAAGATTCCGGGCTTCATGCCGAGGTATATGCCCTTCTGATCAGGTGTGTGTTAGTGTGTCTTTCTTATTGGATCGACCGCGCTAACCGGCTGACCAATGAAAAGACGTCAGCCTCAATGCGTGTGTAGTGTGTGTCTTTATTATTAGCATCGACCGCGCTAAACGGCTGACCAGACCAGTGAAAAGACGTCAATCTTAGTACGGTTGAAAGAACAAAAGACTTCTTAAATGCCATGAACTGGGATTCTGTTATGACTCCGTGAACGGGCGTTATAGGGTAGTAGGCTAAGCTATTCAACGGACTAAAGAAAGAAATAGTAGCAACAGAGGAAACTACGCGTGCATGTCTACCAAGGCTGCTATCTTGCACGCGAGTTCGTTTTGGAGTGCTTTCGCAACATCACTCTTCTCATCGTCATCATTAGCTATTTTGCGGCAGTTCTTCTCCATCCCTGCGTAGTAGTTTGTTGTGAGGAAGGTCATCTGGCTCAAACCCTTTGCTCTCTTCCACTCCATGCTTTCCTCCCCCATTGCTGTTTGGTCGTCCGTTCCCCCCGTTCCCTTTCCTCCTCCTTCGTCTCTACCAAATTAATTCCAATTATTGTCATCGCCATCGTCGTTGTCCGCACTACTACTGAAGTCCCAACCTATTGGCTTTGGTGGAATTTGGTCATGCAGTAGCCCATGGGCGTTTGAACACATCGCGTGTTCGTACTGACTGACAGAAAGCGAGCTAGCTCGAAGGTGAACCGCCTCCAAAACCTATTTGTTTGAGAAGCCTTGAGGCGGAGAAAGGTAGACTCATCGTGAAAATTCCCCTTCTTCGTGCGCCGCCAAGGTAGACTCATCGTGAAAATTCCCCTTCTTCGTGCGCCGGTTGGCGGTAGCTACGATTGACCGATATGTGCCTTTGCCTAGGCCACCATACGTTGAAAAAGCAGTAAGGAGGGTAGATCTAGACGGGTTGAAAGGACGGGTTGAAATTTCCCGCATAGTCTAGTGGTTTGCCTTACTTGCTGCTCTATCTTCGAGAGCGGACACTGGTGTTTGAATCGACTTTCGATGCTTGTACTTGCAAATGGGTTGACGATGGTGACATCCACGAGGAGGACAGACGACTTGGAGCAGAGATCCTCCTCTGTATCTCCTGCAGGTAGTCTGGGGGGGTTACCAAATCCATCTTGTAGAGCCCTTTCCCCCTATCTGTACAGTTACCATTTGTAAATGGGGAAGAATCCTCGACTGCGATTGGCATGTGGCATTGGCGTAGTGTCTTGAGGATTACTCGAACCATCCTGATACATATGGAGAAAGTTTGATGCACCGGTCTTCGTGCAGATGAGGGAGTGGGCTCGGCTCAAAGTTGAGCTTGTGTGAGGTGGTACGCTGTGTGATATACTGCTGTGTGATGCCTGTGTGCCTCTCCTGGGCCTCTGACTTGCTGTACACAATCTCCCAAGCCGCGGACTCCTTGTTGGTAAAACTATACCAATTCAATTTGTTCTTGGTGAAAGTAAGTAGTACCAATCAATACTCATGTATGTGCGTGCTTCTGCTGTTTCAATAGAGATGTGTCAAGTACGTTTGCGCCAGTTTAAAGCACAGAACGAGGAAGATGGCTTCCGCTCATAGAACAATCGGAACTCCTGGCCCCATCTCGACTCTCGCAGCGAAGAAGGTGGAGGGGGCGGTGCCGTGGTACGCGGGGATACTGCGGGGAGCGGAGAGGTTGACGATCTCCTGGCGCAATGACGAAGAAGCGGCCAGTCAACTACGTGCGGTGCGTCTAACTGGAACTGGAATGGCAAAGGACTCATGACGACAACGACGCCACCTACATGGGGGCCGGGGGGGGGCGTACACGGGGGGAGGGGGGGGTACACAGGGGACGACACAAGTGCGGCCGAGGAGAGCAGGACGGTGATGGCAGAGCGAGTAGCAAGATAAGTGCCGGACTGGATGAGATAGAGGTGGAAGGAATCCGCCATAAAACTTACAGTATCTCGTTTGAATTGAACATACAGATATCACCTGTGCCTCTGATCTTAGCTCCTTGCACAAATGTACGTAGGTAGATTTACATATATGAGGGGAAACGGCATGGCCGCTGCAAACCCGGGGGTGAGTACCAGCCGGCCTCGGTAGGGGTCGTGGGTAGAATCACGCGAGTGTGTCTGTTGACTTATTGGTTGGTTGGTGGTCTTTGATTATTTTCGTTGGCCTCGCGTGTCGGGTGGGGACGGTGGGCCCTCTCTGTTTATCGACCCGCTTTCTTATCGATACCGTTTTCTGGCATGTCTGATTGTTACTTACTCCTCAAGCATTTTTGTAGAGGAGGTGACCTTTAAAAAGGTTCAGTTGACAGATCCTTCTGAACACATCTATCTCCCCAAAACATCCATTGAGGACGATTGCCTCTTCACAATGAACGATTGTTTGTCGTGGGCGAAGAGATGTATGTCTGTTTTTGGTTGAAAACAACCCGGGTAGAACCGCCAGAAAATTCTGGAGGACCAAAATA